ATGGACACTTCAAATAGGATTCAGGGACCACTCCACAAAGACTCTCCAGAGCATCCATTATTTCTGTTACACTCAGTCCTGGATTCTCAATAGGAATGGAGTCCAGGGAGGTTCTAAGGGACAAGTCAAGTTAGAAAAATGCAAAATTATTCCCTATGTTTTTATCTCTATCCAGTCTAGAATAGAGGAGTCAAAAAAAATGTGAAACAATCCAGGACAATATAACCTTAATGGTTTTAATCTTCCGGGTGAGCTGGATTCAGAGCCCACTCAGAAAAGAAATGAAAACCTGATTACGTGACTGCTCTGCACCTCAAAAAGAAGTCAAAGTTGCTCAGTCATGTCTGACTGTTTGTGACTCCGTGGACTATCCCATGTGACCCCCTGGAATTCTCCAGGCCAGAATACTGAAGTGGATAGCCATTCCCTTCTCCAGGGGATCTTCACAACCCAGGGATTGAACCCAGGTCTTCCACATTGAAGGCAGATTCTTTACCAGCTGAGCCACCTGGGGAGCCCTCAAAGGGAAAAGCAGATGCTAAAACATTTATCGAAGGACACAGAGAACAAAGCAAGGTAAAACTCATGTTTACTATGGATGTGCTGGGTTGAATTCTTGCATTAAGTTCACTATGGAGTTGGTGATCTAAGACAGATGTGAAAGAGCCTTGAAATATGACTCCTTCACCCAGAGTCCAACCATCTTTCCATACATCCACCAGTGATCTCCCTGTTACTGTACCCAGGGGATTTGTCTGAATATTCATATTCCTTGCCCTGGATGCTTGTCGAAACTAACTACTTTAGACTTCTGTGCTTCTTCAGTTGCATCCCCACCTCCCTCTCCAACTGCTTATAACCAGATATCATCTATCTCCTCAGTGGTGGTTTAGTCGCTAGGTCATGCCCGACTCTTGCGACCCCATGGCCTGGAGCCTCCCTCTCCTCAGAGACTCAGCTAAACCAAGGCAATCCTCAGGTCAAGGGCTTTGGAGAGCTCCAGGCCTGCCCTGCCATCCTCTACAATGATCCCCAAGGTTCTTTCCTATCCAAGATCTTCTCTTTGACAGTCTAAACAACTCCCACGGCTCTATTATCATCTTTATTTACCTAACTCCCTGACATCTCTCCCAAATCTACTCATCCTTTTCCATCTCTCTCTCCTGGAGAACCACTGTTACTTCACTTTCTAAGCCTCAAAAACTTTATTCATTTTGACCATACCAGATAGTCAACCCGTACTGTTTCTTTCCTTCTCTCTCCATTGTTTCTCTACCCCCAGTCGGCTTCCATGTGCCTCTGAAATCCACCCCACCACTTACCCCATCACTCCCCACCACCACCAGCCATCTCAGTTCTCGTTTTCTCTCACCAGCCTCCCAATTGTCTTTCTTCTTTTTCACAGACTTCTAGGACTCATTACAATCCATCCTATACAGAGCTGCCCTATAGATCCTATGTCAACCTTCCTTAATAGCAAATCTTACAGGTAACCATTCAAAGTGCTGCTAGATATGGCTCTCCCTAACTACTTTGTGGAGAAGGCAATGGCAGCCCACTCCAGAACTCTTGCCTGGGAACTCCCATGGATGGAGGAGCCTGGTGGGCTATATAGTCCATGGGTTCTCAAGGAGTCGGACACGACTGAGCAACTTCACTTTCACTTTTCACTTTCATGCATTGGAGAAGGGAATGGCAACCCACTCCAATATTCTTGCCTAGAGAATCCCAGGGACGGAGGAGCCTGGTGGGCTGATGTCTGTGGGGTCACACAGAGTCAGACACGATTAACGTGACTTAGCAGCAGTAGCAACTACTTTGCAATATCATCTTCTGCTAAACCACATTAATCCTCTGCTCCAGGATAGAAATTTGTATGCCAGGCTCTAAACACACCTCAGACTCTCTCATCTCCCTACCAGGCAAAGCTCATGATTAAAAAACTTTCCCTCTTCTTAGACCTGCACACACTCATCTGTCTAACTATATCCCATCAAACTCTATTTCAGAATTATGCTAATATCATACAGTAATAGTTGATTGAAGTTGCAACTATGGGAAGTATATAAAGTTTTAATAACCTTCTCATGAACCCTCATTAGTGTTACTGTTCCTTATTTATTCCACTTACAGTGCTCCATGGTTTACACTAGGCTTCAATTAGATGAAGATACTCTCTCTTGAAGGACCTACAATCAACGATGCAAGCAGGTGAAATTTATATGAATAATGTTTGGGTTTTCAAAGCTTTGATTGAGTGCTACTTTCTTCTTGGAGTCTCTTCTTAACACTCTCACACCTTGGAAATTCATCATTTTTATTTACACCTTTCTTAAGCCACATTTTTTAAGAAATTTTATTGTTGTATAACAACAATAAAATTGTTGTAAAGCAGCAATGTTGCTTCACAATATTGTGTCAGCTTCTGCTATATGGCAAAATGAATCAGCCACATGTATACATATATCCCGTCTTCCTTGGATTCCCTTATTTCGGTCACCACTGAGCACTGAATAGAGTTCCCTGTGCTATATAGTAGGTTCTCATTAGTTATCTGTTTTATGTATAGTAGTGTATATATGTCTATCCCAATTCATCCCACTCAGCCCTTCCCCCTTTGGTATCCATACATTTGTTCTCTATGTCTCTATTTCTACTTTGCAAATAAGTTCAATTCAGTTCAGTTCAGTCGCTCAGTCATGTCCCACTCTTTGCGACCCCATGAATCGCAGCACACCAGGCCTCCCTGTCCATCACAAACTCCCGGAGTTTACTCAAACTCATGTCCATTGAGTCAGTGATGCCATCCAACCATCTCATCCTCTGTCATCTCCTTCTCCTCCTGCCCCCAATCCCTCCCAGCATCACGGTCTTTTCCAATGAGTCAACTCTTCACATGAGGTGGCCAAAGTATTGGAGTTTCAGCTTCAGCATCAGTCCTTCCAATGAACACNTACAGTTCTTCTGTGTATTCTTGCCACCTCTTCTTAATATCTTCTGCTTCTGTTAGATCCATACCATTCCTGTCCTTTATTGAGCCCATTTTTGCATGAAATGTTCCCTTGGTATCTCTAATTTTCTTAAGAGATCTCTAGTCCTTCCCATTCTATTGCTTTCCTCTCTTTGTATTGATCACTGAGGAAGGCTTTCTTATCTCTCCTTGCTATTCTTTGAAACTCTGCATTCAAATGGGAATATCTTTCCTTTTCTCCTTTGCTTTTTGCTTCCCTTCTTTTCTCAGCTATTTGTAAGGCCTCCTCAGACAACCATTTTGCTTTTTAGCATTTCTTTTCCATGGGGATGGTCTTGATCCCTGTCTCCTGTACAATGTCACGAACCTCCGACCATAGTTCACCAGGCTCTCTGTCTATCAGATCTAGTCCCTTAAATCTATTTCTCACTTCCACTGTATATTCATAAGGGATTTGATTTAGGTCATACCTAAATAGTCTAGTGGTTATCCCTACTCTCTTCAGTTTAAGTCTTAATTTGACAATAAGGAGTACATGCAAATAAGTTAATCTATACAATTTTTCTATATTCCACATATAAGTGTTAATATATGATATTTGGTTTTCACTTCCTGACTTATTTCACTCTGAATGACAGTCTCTAGGTCCATCCATGTCTCTGCAAATGACACAGTTTCTATCATTTTTGTGACTGGGTAATATTCCATTGTATATATGTAACACATCTTATTTATCCATTCCTCTGTTGATGGACATTTTGTTTGCTATTGAAAAATAGTGCTGCAGTATACATTGGAGTGCAGATATCTTTTTGAATTATGTAGCCACACTTACATTTGTCTGTATGATGCTTGTCTCTTTGTCTTGTCCACTCTAAAGACTATAAACACACTGTGTTTGGGGTTCACTTATTTGTGTGTCCTCAGTAACACACATAGTACTACACAACAGATGGTTGTTTGGGGCTGTGTCAGTCAGCATCAAAATGAATGAATCATTGAGATAGTGACCAATAGAATTGAAAGTGTTGAATATTCAGTGATAAGACAAGTGAGGGTGGGGTAGGATTCATGTTTGTTGTAGGGAGACTTAATGAACATTGGCCTTTCTTGAAATGATAGGCAAAGAAATGATAATGAGGTTATGGAAGAACATTGTAGATATGAGCAAAGAGCCAGTGGAAAGAATAACTGAAAAGAGAGAGGTAAAGAGATACACCCATCTGCATCAAAGGGTCCTTAGATTACAAGGTATTGAGTATAACAAGTGGGTAACAAGATGGACCAGTTTGGCAAAGATAAACTTTTGTCCAATTAAATGTGATGTAATGGCTTGATACCAAGTGAAACTGTCCTATGTGTGAAGACCTGGAACTCAAGCTGAGGGGCAAGATTTTGGAGTCATCAGCATACAGGTGTGAGTTCTCCATGAGGAGAGATGTAGAAAGAGAAACACAGACTCACAAATCCAGGCATTTCCTCCACTTGAGACAGAAAGAGGAAGACAGGCTAATCAGAAGACAGAGAACAAACAGAGGTCTAACAAGAGGATCCAGAATGTGTGGGGTGATGGAAATCATTGAAGATACCTTCTAAGGAAAGAGTAGGCATCTACACTGGTCACACATGTGCAGCCAAGAGGCTGAGAGGAGAGGAGAGCTCCTCTTGAACAGTCTCTACAGGAGCTAGTCTTCACTGTTAGAGAGAAATGGAAACAGAGAATTCCAGAGTGATGGGGATGAGAGTGGGAAAGAGCTGTAAATTTTGGGGAGGATGCTCACAATTGCAGCCAAGGCCAGAAAAGAAAAGAAAAAAAAAAAGGCATGAGTTTTAAAAGCCAGTTTTTCTGCATGGTATTCCTGGGTGGGAGCCTCCCAAGAAGACAGCCTTCTCTCTCCCTCGGTATTTACCAGTGAAACATATGACTGGGACAGTCACTGAACTCATTTCATCCTCCTAATGAAGGGTTATTTTTATGAAACAGCCGTAACAAGTACTTTACAATGCATGTATATGTATGAGAAACACATTTACTATGCCAGAGAAATAAAGTTTATTGGGAAGTAAATGAAGTAGCCTCCTTGCATTCCAGAGAATACCAAAGAAGCTAGGAAAGCAGGAAACACAATACCTAGAGGAAACACCCTAAAGTAAAACCTGGAGCTCAGATTGCTGGACTGTCTTCAGAGACAGAGACTTGACCTTCAGCAGGAGGGAGTTTTCCAGACATCGGAAGCAGATGAGGTGTGTCTTGGCTCGTGGAGAGCATTTCCATGTGTAAAAGTTTCAGAGCTGGCTTGACAAGGTATCTAAATGGTAACTGAGCTCCAGCCAAGGCAGGACCTGGGGATCTTTTCTGTGCTTGTTCTAGGCTTCGTTGTCATCTTCAAAGAGGAGGCAGGTTTTTTAATTAACGGCAACGATTTTGAGAGCAGGACCCACAGGAGTTGCCACTAGCATTGGTGGTGGCACATGGGTTGCAGGGGAGCCTAGGAGAACACAGAGGTTTAGAATGGGATGGGGAGAGGAGTGGCAAGAGTGCTAAGGTACTTTATGAGATATATCTGAATTCTTAGTGGTTGAAGCCAAATCTCTCTTTCTGCCATGTGCAGAGGTGGACAATTGTTATCTAATGCTCTTGAGAGCTCACAGAACTCAACACAGTAGCATAGACATTACTTGATCCTGCTGTAGATTTCTTCGTGGGACTCAGAAGACAGAGCCATTCGTGGACTTTGCAGCCTTTTGTGTTAAAGGATCTAACTGGGAATTCAGTGGAAGCTGATGCTCGTTGAAGGCTGGTCCCAGAAGTAGAACTGAGATGTGACTTTGGAGCCCTTGACCTCTTGCTGGCACTGAGGCCTCTAGTGAACAAAGGTGTTGCAAGGTCCACACCGAGCACGTGAGACACAAGGATTGGAGATGCAGGGCCCGATGGGCCTTTCACAAGCGTTGGTGGTAGCACATGGGTTGCAGGGGAGCCTGGAGGCAGAACACCATTAGAGCATGTTACAGGAAAGTGAAATGAAGAGTTAGAAAGATATGAAACATATTTTGTATAAGAATATTGTATTGTTACTTCCTCTGAGTGCCTCCAGTCAAAAGCTTGAAATGCTAAGTTAATTTCCATCAGGAAGATCTTTCATCCTCATAGCAACCTCACGAGCCCCCAAGGAGAACATCACTAGCCTCCTACTCACTTGCAGTCCTCGCTGTCCAGCAGCCCCCGGTACGTGTTGATCTCACACTCCAGCCGGGCCCGCACATCCAGCAGCACCTGGTACTCCTGGTTCTGCCGCTCCAGGTCACTCCTGATCTCCGCCAGCTGTGACTCCACGTTGCCGATCAGGCCCTGCACCTGGGCCAGCTGGCAGCTGTAGCGAGCCTCCGTCTCCGTCAGGGTGTTCTCCAGGGAGTCTCTCTGTCACGGGGAAAGGGGAGGAAGGTCACAGAGCTGCTCCTTCAGGGGCTTCTCCTGAAGTCACAAGCTCCAAGAGTTCATGAGAGGGTGGTCTGGAGGGCATCCCAGTGCCCCTGACTCCCCGACCTCACCTCCTCACCAGGAGTCTCATCAATACCCACCAGGTTGTGCTGGGCCTGCAGTTCCACCTCCAGGGCATTGACCGTGCGTCTCAGCTCGATGATCTCTGCCTGGCAGGACTGCAGCTGCTCTGAGCTGGACACCACCTGCTTGTTCAGCTCCTCAGTCTGAAACACCAAAGTGCAGAAGACAGGATCAGACCCTGCCTGAAGGGCCCCAAGGGGCCGAGGGTCCTGGGAGACCACGTGCTGAGCTGCTCACCTGCCTGATGTACCATTCCTCCACGTCCCTGCGGTTGGTCTCCACCAAGGCCTCATACTGAGCCCTGGTCTCGTTGAGCACACGGTTGAGGTCCACAGTGGGGGCGGCGTCCACCTCCACGTTGAGGCGGTCTCCCAGCTGGCTCCGCAGTGAGTTGGCTTCCTGAGGGAGGAAGGAGAAGAAATGAACCCACAGAAATGGATCTTCAATCTTCCTGCTGCAGGGAAGTGAGCACAACCCTGCCCAAAATGCACTGAAAGGAATATTCTGATCATTCCCCCGAACTGACACAGGTATGGTGTAGGAATAAACCCAAATAGGCATCACATCCATTCCCTTCCCCCAACACTGAAACAAGCTCACCTTTCCTGTAAGCCTAAGTCCAAACTCGTTCACACATGCAGGTCCTTCCTACCTCTGTCCCATTACATCCCCATAGATACTGCTTTCCCAGCCACACTCCCCAAGTATGCCACACTCTGCCACATCTGTGTCTTTGCTCAGTCTCTTCCTTTAGACCAAAGTGCTGAAGTCCTCCCCTTTCCTCTGATTTGCCTCTGAGAAGACTTCCCAATCTCCCTTCAGGTAGATCGGATTGTTCCCAGAGCCTGAGGCTTGTACAACATGTACATATAAAGACTGTCTCTATACAACAAAATCTTCTATAATAAAATACCCATTGGGCAAGTTCAACAAGCAAAAGATAAATCAAAACTTCCCATTCTACATGCCTATCCCGGAAGACATGTAGCAAAAATGTGTTTTTGTTGTTTAAAAGCAGTGAGTCATCACTAAGTGCCTCAGCTTAAAATGGTGGAATAAGATCAGAATCAGAATTTAAAACTTCCTTGAGGTCAAACTATCTCCCTGACCATCCAAGATGCCCACCCAGGATCACAGTTAACCTCACTGCAGGTGGGACATGCTCCCCCACAATAGGTATTTCCAATTCCTTCCCAGAATTTCACCTGACCAACATGTGTTCCCCTCACCCTTGACAATGACGGGTATATGAGAACAATTCTCCGTGATGTTCAAGGAGCAGTGATAGAAGAGAATATCAGTGCAAAAGCAAAATGTCAAAGTCATGTGATGAGCACTTTGTAATACATTGAACCCACAAGGAACAAAGGTGGCATCCACTAAAGATGAAATGTGACAGAGCTTTCCATTGTAAACACAGAGGCACACCAGGAAAAGGAAATGTGTTATTTTCTCCATTTGGAGTACTTAGCTAGAAACATACAATTGTGGAATTAAATGATTATGTTTTCTAGTAGGGTGAATAACAGCAAGGGAATAATGATGTCATGATAGCAGCTATTTTATATTTATACTTCATATAATACTTATTTCCCTCTACCTATATGATGCACTGTGTTTTTACATGATTGTCTCCACAGCCTTAAGGCTAAAGAGCATGTTATTCCTTTTCCTCTCCCCCTCTATCTCTACCACCAAATTCAGGACCAGCAGAGAGAAGACCTCAATGAATATAAGTCCTTTCCCAGCATCTCCAACACCATCCACTCCTGCAGTTCACCTCACCCCTGCTCTCTATGGAGATAGAATTGCCATTCCCAGGGCTGACCTTGAGCTCCTCAGAGACGGGTCCCAGCCCTGGAGGTCTGACAGCAGTTGCCTCCTGACTCCCAATGCTAAAGGCTTATCCCTGAAGTCTATGGTTTCTTTCCCTCTCACCTCCTCATGGTTCTTCTTGAGGCAGAGCAGCTCCTCCCTCAGGGACTCCACCTGGGCCTCCAGGTCGGCCTTGCACAGGGTCAGCTCATCCAGGATCCTACGCAGGCTATTTATGTCTGACTCCACCAGCTGCCGCAAGGAACGCTCCGTCTCGTACCTGCATACACAGACCAGAGCGGGAGAATGAGCCAGGCAGAAGCCCCACTCCCTGCCCCATGCCCTGTGTTCATGGGATTGGCCTGGCTCTCTTTGTGCTGACAGTTTTCTGCCTCTTCATATCCATGCTTTCTTCAAGATCTACATAAACAGGATGGAGAAGCCTTGGACTCATCCCAACACCAGAAGGCACTCAGGGGACTCATGAGGTGGACTCTCTCTCCTGTCAATTTTGTTGGTTAATATACCACCCAATCAATCAACTTCACCAAGAACAATTCATTACAGTCTCTGAATTTGGGGGTTGAAGGCCTTTCAGAAAGAGTGATATAAACTGAAGCTCAAATAGCACATGAGTCCGGATCTCTGTTTGCAAGTAGTTTTACCTAGCCGGCCTTAAAAAAAACAAAACAAAACAAATACGCCAGGAGAAATTAAAAGGGAGAAATGGCTTTCTCTTCTCTTCCAGGCAATGTTAGGCCCACACAGGGGCCTTGGAGGTCACCTGGCCCCAAAACCTCAACGTACTTGGTCCTGAAGTCATCAGAGGCCAGCTTGGCATTGTCGATCTGTATCACCAGCCTGGAGTTCTCAGACTTGGCGCACAGGATCTGAAAACAAGATTCCATGGTGAGGACCATTTGAACCTGAGAACATTTTATTGCTCAAAGACAGAAAGCTACTGCTGTGCCCCCACGCTGCCCAGTCCCTCACCTTCTGCTGGAGCTCCTCGATGGTCCGGAAGTAGGACTGGTAGCTGGGGCACAAGAGGGGCTCCTGCTGCTGGCTCCGCTCCAGGATGCGGCTCTCCAGCTCCGCGTTCTCCCGCTCCAGCTGCCGCACCTTCTCCAGGTAGCTGGCCAGCCGGTCATTCAGGAACTGCATGGTCTCCTTCTCATTGCCATTGAAGGAGCCCTCGCAGAACCAGTTGCAGCTGCCCACATTGGCAGGGATGTTGCAGGCCCCGGGCAGGGTGGTGCCACGGCAGCTATGGGGCACACAGGGCCGGGATGAGCAGCTGGAACGGTAGCTCAAGGTGGGCAGGCAGCAGCTGTAAGGCATGGTGCTGGGAGAGGTGATGGAAGGACAGGTGAACTGATGGAGGTGGAAGTGGATGAGGTTTGAGTCTCTCCTTTCTCCATGGTCCTTTTATACCCTTAATGGTGGGTGGGGTCTTGGCACTCAGCATAGTTTCCTTTCCTAATGCTTTGGCTAATTTTTTTCTCCAAAATATGCTACTTAGATGCCTCCCAAGAGTCCCCCCTCAACTCATAAAATTATTCCATTCAGCTTGTGTCATAACAGGCTCCTCCAGGGTGCTCATGGCTGGTGATATCAGAGTTTCATCAGATGGCTTCAAAGGAAGTAGAATCATCATGGCCCCAAGTGGCTCTCCCCATTACTCAGAGGGGAGGACACCCAGGGACAGGGGGTGGAGTTGCTTAGGAATCAGGAACTCCTCGACCATGAATTTCTACCATTGGACTCCTTGGAAAGAGAGTGTGGAGTGAATAGTCTTTTCAATGGCCAGCCAGCTTCTCTCAAGTCTACCCATGCTTCACTGTTCATTCAACCCATCCTTAGAGCAGAAGCTTGTCCTGTATTAACTATGAGGATTCTGAGCCTTTCTCACGGAGAGTATTCATTGGGGCTTAGGGAATTTGTCAATACCTGGAGAGACTGAAAATAATTGAGTGTTATATGTAACATAGATAACCAAGAAGGACCTCCTGTAAAGCACAGAGAACTCGACTCAGTATTCTATAATAACCTATACGGGAAAAGAAACTAAAACAGAATGTGCTGTGTGTTGCGCTAAGTCGCTCAATCGTGTCCAACTCTTTACGACCCCATGGACTGCACCCCGCCAGCCTCCTCTGTCCATGGAGTTCTCCAGGGAAGAACACTGGAGTAGATTGCCATTTCCCTCACCAGGGGATCTTCCTGACCCAGGAATCAAACCCAGGTCTCCTGCATTACCAGGATTCTTTACCGTCTGAGCTACTGAGAAAGAATACATATATGTATATGCATAACTGAATCACTTGGCTATACACCTGAAACTAACACAACATTGTACATCAACTGTACTTCAATAAAATTTTCAAAAAATAAAGAAAGAAGGGACTTCCCTGGTGGACCGGTTATTAAGAATCTTCCTGCCAGAGGAGAGTATTCATTGGGGCTTAGGGAATTTGTCAATACCTGGAGAGACTGAAAATAATTGAGTGTTATATGTAACATAGATAACCAAGAAGGACCTCCTGTAAAGCACAGAGAACTCGACTCAGTATTCTATAATAACCTATACGGGAAAAGAAACTGAAACAGAATGTGCTGTGTGTTGCGCTAAGTCGCTCAATCGTGTCCAACTCTTTACGACCCCATGGACTGCACCCTGCCAGCCTCCTCTGTCCATGGAGTTCTCCAGGGAAGAACACTGGAGTAGATTGCCATTTCCCTCACCAGGGGATCTTCCTGACCCAGGAATCAAACCCAGGTCTCCTGCATTACCAGGATTCTTTACCGTCTGAGCTACTGAGAAAGAATACATATATGTATATGCATAACTGAATCACTTGGCTATACACCTGAAACTAACACAACATTGTACATCAACTGTACTTCAATAAAATTTTCAAAAAATAAAGAAAGAAGGGACTTCCCTGGTGGACCGGTTATTAAGAATCTTCCTGCCAGCGCAAGGGGCATGAGTTTCATTCCTGGTCAGGGAAGATCCCACATGTCCTGGAGCAACTAAACCCCTACACCACAACTACTGAAGTCTATGCACCACAACAACTATGGAAGCCCATGTGCCTAGAGCCTGTGCTCCGCCACAAAGAGTAGTGCCCACGCGCCACAAGTACAGAAAGCTCACACCCAGCAAGAAACACCCAGCGCAGGCAAAAAGAAATAAATAAAGTTATTTTAAATAAAGAAAATAACTGAGTGTTCATGGTTAGAAAATGAAACCTCTGGACAGATGGGAATGGCACTGAAGATGCAGACTACAGCCCACAGTTCAGCCTGCAGCCTCTTTTTTGGAAATCAAGTTTTGTTGGGACACAGCCAGGCCTTTTCATTTAGGTGTTGTCTATGGCTGCCTTTGTACTACATGAAAGCTGAGTAGTTGCAACAAATACCATTTAGACTGCAAAGCCTAAAATATTTACTATCTGGCCCTTTACAAAAAAAATGTCAACCAACCTGCACTGAAGCCATAATCTCCCTAAAAGTGAGAATGAGAAGAAATATCTAGAAGAAAAATTATGATGGAAATATTCCACAGAGTGAGAGTTCAAGGGTCAGTGTCAAAGCATAAATACAAAGCAGACTACTTTAGACTCAACAAGAAAGTAAAACCAGAATCAGGCACTCAGAGGTATCTTTGTATCCATAGCAACCTTATCTCAAAGCCTCTAGAAACTTCTCTTCCTTGCTATTAGACTTACTCCTTTGAGAGCATTGAATACCCCTAGAGATATGACTTTTCTAGCCTGAGATGCTCTCAGACAGTCAGAGCCCATGAGAATGCAGTTGACTCTGTCATCCCTAAGAAGTGGGCACCACCCCTGATGAGTACACAGCTCTCCATCAGCTCTGGGTTCAGATACCCTTTGACCCTTCCCAGCCCTAGGGAGTCTCCCTTATTGCCAACTAACAGATATTAACAAATTAGCCTTCCCCAGATCACCTGCTATTCCCTGTCCCTCTCTAGCTGTCCTTTGTTCCATAAAGGAACAAAATCATGGTTCAGAAAGAAGTCCCAAAAGATTATTCTTGTAACACAAGACACTTTAAAAGAATGTATCCAGATTTTTTTTTCCATTTATTTTTATTAGTTGGAGGCTAATTACTTTACAACATTGCAGTGGTTTNTAAAAGCAGTGTTGAAGAGCAGAAAGGACCACATTTGAAGCTAAATGACCTGGGTGCACATCCTCCCTGACAATATGAGCTCAGAGAAGTGAATCCCTTTTTTGACTCTAGTTTTCTTCATCTCTTAATTTGAAGTAATGATAATGCTGCCCACTTCATGTGTTCATTGTGAAAGGTAAGACATTGTGTATGAATATGAGTGGGGGTGATGATAGTTACTTCTGTAACCTTCCTCCTTTCTACTGTTGGCTCAAATGGCTCAGGTGAAAAATTTTGTCAACATTCAATTTTGTTGAGCAGACAACATGGGCAGGTTGCCCAAGCCAACTCAATGGTGATCAAACCTTACTCATCTCACAAATACTAGAGGCACAGAACTATATTCATGAGTTAATCAACAAAAATGCAAATGTTAACATTAATTTAGAGGCTAGATTAGGAAGTTGACAGATGGTCTATTGTCCCTACCTTCTCAGCTAACTTCCTGATATTCGAGGTTTATCTATCTTACTTGGGGTGATTCTTGAGGAGGAAGAGTTCTCCACATGGGGCTATATTGCCAACCAAGCCTCCTTTCTGGTGCTTGCATTGAAATAGGCTCTTCTAATCCTCTGAGAATCCTCCAGCCTTACAGCTCTCTGTGAGCATTCATAAAATAATGATAGCGTTACTGCTGCTCCTGATGATGATGATGGTGACAATGATGCTACCATTTCATGAATACTTAGAGCTTCCCAGGTGGTGCAGTAGTAAAGAATCCACTTGCCGATGCAGGAGATGCAGGTTCGATCCCCAGGTCATAAGATCCGCTGGAGTAGGAAATGGCAACCTACTCCAGTATTCTTGCCTGTAAAATTCCATAGACAGAGGAGCCTGGTGGGCTACAGTTCATGGAGTTGCAAAGAGTTGGACATGACTGAGCATGCACACACACACACACACACACACACACACATGAATTTACTTATTATGTGCCAAACTGGTGCTAAGTGCTATGGCACATTTCTCATATCATCATCCCAACAACCCAGTAAGATTGACCTATAAAATTATTCCTATTTTACAGATAAGGTAACAGAATGAGAAAGGTTCAGACTTTTCCTAAGACAAAGTCCATAAGTAGCAGAGCAGGAATTTGAACTATTCAGATGTCTAACTCCTGAGCCTGAATACCTAAACACAGTGTGAACATTTGGCACAGAAGCTTCTCTGGTTCTGTGAGAGAAAGAAACCTTAGATTCATTTCCGTTTATTGTACCTCTCTTTATAGTTTTTGTTTCTGGTCCCTGCCGGGGCCTTCTTCCCCACTCCCCTTACCTCATCAGTCCTCCAAAGGCCTCTCTGCTCAAGCAGTCCTTACACCCCGCTATGCTCTATAGTACCTTCCTAAGCTTGGTAAATAACCAAGTTACACTCATTTACTTTTTCCCAAGGGAAATTTCTATCCTTTTGCACAATTGATTAATTTGTCCAGATTGAAAATCAGATTGCCTTTTCTTAACATCTAAGCAAATGAAAATGCACAAAGGCATGACCTAGGTAATTTAGAATCTGGGAGAAAGTCTACTTGCCTTACCCTGTAAACATTCACCTCAGAAGTAAGTTCTGTTTTCTAGAATCAAAAAATCTGAAGCCAGAAAAACCTGAACTTATGAAGGAGAAAACTGAGGAGCAGACAGTGATGTAAGCTGGAAATGAATAGCAATAGATATCTTTCTAGTCCAAAGGTCTTCTAGGACACTTCACACATAGTATTCCATCCTCACCCAAAACACTGGGTGTTTGGATTCTATTACCATCATTGATTAACAGAGATGAAAAATCCAAGATACTAGGGAGAGATTTAACTTATACAAATGACACAAGTATGTAGAGTCAAGTTTGCCCAGCCCAATTTACCTCATTGTAAATTAGAGATGAGACACTGTTTAGAGGTCAAGATGTGTCAAAGCACAAGAACTAGGAGGAAACACAGAAACAAAATCATGAATTCTGAGGCCAGTTCTGAGTACAGGCAGGAAGACATACCTAGACTTATTGCATACTGCTTTGCTCCTCAGTAAACTAGGGGTCAAAAAGTGACAATCCTACAAGCTTGTGATGAGGCATGAATCCTGGAAGTAATGTGATGGCTTGTATAAAGGAAAATGCTGAGCACTCCTAGACAGCCCTGATCTTCCTGACAGCAGCCTCAGACCCCAAAGAGAACTCAAACCATGGTTTTAACATCAGATATGAAGATGGGGGAAAGTGCCTTTTCTCTGTCCCAAAGCAAATATAAAATAAGAGGGAAACAGAAATAAAAAG